TTCCATGGTATTTGTAGCTACCGAGCCAAACTGCAGGAGTAGAGCGTTCGCGGCATCCACAGCAGTAGTTATCAGGCCACTGGCCGTCATGAGTGGTGGTATTCCGGCTTAAGGTTTCTTGTACCATTCACAAATCTGTATAGTAGTTTGGTGTTACTCGTACATTTCAGTATCATGGTCTCCTGCCATTGGTACTTATTGACTCGAATTAGCGACGTGCAGTAGTTGCTGATTGCTTTGTAATTCTGCCATGTGGTATCATATGGGCTTAGCGAATGTTGCCTTCAGAGTACATCTCTTTTGTTGATCCATTTACGTGTTCTGCATCGGATCCACGTATTGGTCCGGCGTGATGCTCGTAATGGTACAACATTCGATGCTGATTGTATGATCCAATTAGGCTTATCCTTCAATTCATCTTACGCGTCATTCGCTGAACTGTACGGCTGTAACTTCCAGTCAACAGTTGCTGCTAAGTTGTGCAGCTTAAAATAGTCCCTAATAGTTCGTTGAGTCGCTCTTTCTTTATCAACTCTACTGGCATAACACACATAACCAAACGTGAGGACTGAATGGTCGCTACGGCCCAGTGGAGGATCGTATGCTACTGACTCAATAATCAACTCATGCTTAAGTCCAGGAGTGATGGCTTGTTTGAACCGCGCTGTCTGGTTGGTCGATGCACATGGTTATACAAAACTGCCATATCCATGAATTCAAGGAGCTTCGATTTAAATGATGGCCCATTAGGGGACATTGATGCTATTGAAGGAACATTAAAATCGCCCATTATAAGATAGTGAGAGTACGTTTGTGAAACAGCATAGCGGAGGGCGTTTAACAGAATGTTATCGCTGTCTGCTGACGAGTTCGGAGGCTTGTAGATAACTGCTAAGAGGCAAGCATCACTCGTCTTCTGTGAACCAACATCTCGACCTGCTAGGTGCAGTCGGCAAAATAGTGCGTCGGGAATAACAAGGGAATTTTCGGTAAGGGCCTCACATTTCAAGTAATTTCGATAGTAGACAGCAACACCGCCACCGCGAGATGGACGATCGTTTCGAATGACTGACATCTCACTGAGTTCAATCTCTGGATCAAATATGTCATTTAGAAGCCAAGTTTCAGTAACTGCTATAAGGTCCCAAGTTGTTGTTTCATGTCGATGGTGCAGTTCCGATAGCTTAGAACACAACTCTTGTCTGTTGGTTTAGTAGCATTGTATTTGTTGGCGCATTAGGAGCTCGGTTCGCTATGAGTGACCGGCACAAATAGTGCTGGTCTGCTGAAGTTTAGGAAACAGTTGTTTGCACGGTTGACTGATCTGAGATAGGTACAACTGAGTGGCTCATCTGTATCTGAGGGCTGTACTAATTGAAGGAATGGTCTTAACCGTACTTCTGGTGGCCCTAGTTTCCTGTTGTCATGCCATGTTTGAATTGCCACCGATACCATTTCGGGCGCAGCCAAGGTAACTTTCAAAATTTGTTGCCCGCTACCTTGGTAGTTTCTGAAGGCAATTAGACGGATGATGTCAAAAGTCACAACATTCTGCCTGTTGTGATGCTCTGTGAGGTATCTACATTCTTCGATGTCGTGCTTCTGTCGTTCACTGCTATCGTCATGCTTCAATTCTGGCACACCATGAACCAGTACCACTTTCTTCATCCCATTTTGACGTGACGAACTAGGGTTGGATTTCTGCTTCTGTCTTTCTGCCCATGGCCTGTCAGGAAAAATGTGGGCACTGACAGAAGAGTTCACTAGAATGTGGCTTGCTAAGAGAACATCTTCCAGGTCGTGTGGGTTGTCAAACGTTACTCGCAGTAACTGAGATTCCCCTACGTGTGGAGATGATGGATTTCGTGTAAGGCGTGTAAGACTAATTGGGGGAACTTTCAGTCCGAGTGCGCAGGTTATTTCAGCCCCGCGGTTTTGCTCCTCGACTTGTCTACCTTTTAGCGATTCGCTAGTGGGTTCTGGGACGTTTGGATATATTACTGGCATCGCCTTTTGGTTGCTTAATAATCGTTTGTTCTGCTGTTCCTTGTGAGCGTAGGTTTGTCAAGTGGGAGTGTCTGGCTTGTCTTCCGTAGTCGATAGGCCAAGACTACAGCAAGATATTTTTTACGTGCAACGCCGTTAGTTCCACTATCTGTAGGAATCAACTATTGTTGCCCAGCTACTAACGGAGGTGATCGTGCATTTCGTGCGTAACTGCATGCTTCGGAGCATTACATGAGACTTGGGAGACCATTCAAACGGCCTGTTTTCCCTGCTGTTTTTCACTAACGGTGTTTGCCTTTCGCTGGACTGTGTAGCATTGTTGCTAGAGAACTTTCACCTTTTAACAGGTCCGGGATTCGGGCTACTTAATGCGTTAATCTGTAACTCGATTTCTGGTATTTTCCCTCCGAATACCGCGATCAGTTCCTTTTGGTCTGCTGACGTAACAGCCAACGTTTCACACCTTATTGTGAGCGTTTGAACAATCTTAATTATCGGACTATCTGAACATAAGTCACAGAACGACAACCCATCTGTCGATACACTGTTAGTTCCGGTACGTGTAATGTCCACATTTGTTGCGTCGTAGGAAGAGCCACAGAACGAACACGCGGCTTCCAAGAGGATCGCAGTTCCCCGCTTGTCTGAGCTACCATTGACCTTGGGTCTGTTGCTCACTGTATTCCCGGTTGACAAACTTCTCCGGTCCATGGATCAATGGTCGGTATGCACCTTTAGGTTGCGCTGGTCACGCCTTTTGTGCTGCCTCAGTTGTATGCTCCGGTCAGCGGGTTTGGTGGTGGTGTGTCACTAGGCGCACGAGTAGCCAAAATCACACAGGCTTTGTGCAGTGAAATGCACGTAAAAAATATGGTGGTAACGTGAGATGACAAAGAAGCCTGTAGATATGGTATACAGTAGTGCACAGTACCAAGTGATATATCGTCTGACAGCCTTAAAGAAGCTCTGTCGAATGGTATCCCAAAGGTACTGATGAAACTCAAATAAGCAGTTACTCATGTTGGCCTTAGTGAACAGACTTCCGAAGACTTCGTTTGTAGTGTACCAGGGTGTCATTGGACTTACTTCAAAAATATAGACCCCCGTTGGATAGATCTCGGTGATCGGAATCGATTGAGCGTACTTCCGAAGATGTGGCACAATAATGCAAGGCGATAAGTCCAATTAGACACAGAGCACAGAATTGCACGATTAGCACGCACACTGTATAGGGCCAAGGCACTACCCTGTTCTGGTGCAGAAATGTGGAAAACAGGCCAACAGTGATGGGTAAAATCGATTCAACGGGATCGAACACACTAAGGAGAGTGGCTTTTTGCCGATTCAGGTTCAAATATCCAGGCCAACCTGGTCGAGCTAAGCATCATGGTAACTCGATATCGCGACCGGATGGATGGTCCAGCTTCACCTACATCAGTGGCTTGATCCTGGGATGCATTTACACTTCTTACTTCATCGTCACACATTGGTACATCGAACAGCAATGTATGCTTTGCAATATGTGAGTCCGTTGTTGCCGTCCGAATATCAGAGGGATATAGTGAAATAGGAGAGCATCGTCGTTGCGCCAAAATTTTACACTGAAATTTTGCTGCAAACGATTGAACGGGACGCAAGATATTGCGTGGGCGCCCAAGCGCAGATGGCAGCCGGAACTCGAATCAAGGTGGAGGCTTAAACCCAACGCTAGAATCACAACACCACAGGTACTCTACGCATAGTAACGTCAAGTCAGTGGTTTGATTTGCCGCGCGAGGAACGCTGAGTGTACCAATGGGGACTTTAAAGCACCAACCATCACTCCGTAAAAAAACGCAAATCTCACCCATAAGCAAATCGCAAGTACTCAGCAAAAGGATGACGCTCTACTTCCCATTTGCTCAAATGTGTCCAAATTGTTGAAAGGCTAAAAGTACCGGAATTGCATGCACCATTCAATGGGCGTCCAAGCTAAATGGGATAGAATGATGTGCATTGTGTGTCGCCCAACATCGGCATCTAAAGCCTCTTTGAGTAACGCTACAATTGGCAGAGTAAGAAGGTACCGTTCCTCTGTCAGACCCGCTTCCACCGACTACCACTTACGGGGCCGATTTTATTCCTGGAATCTTTCAGAAAGAACATCAGTAACGGGAAGCGCAGTCTAGACCACTATTCAAAGTAGATGACAAAACGTTAACGCTTGTCATCAGTGTTCTAAAGCATCGGATTTCCAAAGAACAGGTCACTAAAGGTTGTGACTAAGAGGATTGGTGCTTCATTCGTGAAGAACGCTTCACCGACAACATGATCACAAGGTAGACAACAAGACTACTGCTGCTAGGAAAGATGTGGCTAGAGAGAAATGAAAGCAATGCCACAGCTTCAGAAGATGGTACAAACGGCACTTGAAACGTGGCACGTTGCACACGAAACAGTCACGCAATTTGTTTCTAAAAGCTTAGAACGTCAGTTGCTACTAACCCAGGAGTCACCAAATTTGCAGGGTTTAATTGACTTAAATTTGCAGTTGAAGTACGCACCGTGTGGTTGGATTGCGACACGCAATCTCTATTGAGACCTCGGTTATTCCGATCACAAGGACCGTATTAGCAATGGATGTGTTTGGGTGTTTCGCCATTTAACTGACCTTGCTCAAAAGTACTCCGGAAGCCGGATAAAGTGAAGGATCGTCCGATCATTGCGAAATTTCGACTAAAAGCAATCGCGGATTCCGCACACGCAGGAAGTTAATGACCCTGATGAAAAAGTGTGCTCAATGGTACTAGTTCATATATACACAAAATGGAGTTCAAACGCTATTTGTAATTATAGGCCAACCTTCGAATTTTAGATCTGTTTCAGGTTCAGTATTCGCTAGCAAACTAGAAGTATATAATGAAGATGCCACCTTGATAAAGTGCGAAGTACTTGCAACTCAACTCGACGAGAGTAAATATTTCGCTTATTAACCCGATTCGCATTTCTCGCAGAGACAACAGCTTTTCGAAACAGTTATTGACGCCTGGATGCCGAAACACTTGTGGACTGCGGGTCTACGTTGACCCCAAGCAGTGTTGGTGCTCAGTCAAAAAAAACCACCAGCAGCAGCCTCGCCGCATACGCTCAAATCTTCAAACACAATTTCAGAATCGGAGCCGATCGCTCGTTTGCACACCAGTGCACAATATCCTCTCAGAACATAACTGACTTTTGATCTCTTCAGAATTTGTTTCAGCATATAATCGAAGCACGAATGACCGAGGAGATCAATGGTGCATCATAGATGTTTGTAGCCAGCATTAGTGCTTTTGCAATGGGCGATCTAGTAAGGGAATTAGTGTCCTACAATTCGATCATGTTGACGTCAAGCACCTGACCCGTTTGGTGACATCTGCACCTGATGCGTTGAGAGAAACATGTTCTGCAGCTTTCGTATACTGTTTTTAAATGTGTTCACTTTAGAACCGAACTGACGTCATGTTCTACTGCATGCAGCTTTCTAGTAAGGCCTTACAACTATATCCTTCTAGCAGGGGATATTAGATCTTACGCCTTCGTATCCCCAGCCCATCTTCGAAAGCAAACCAATGGCCTAATTGAGACCTCGGGCGAATGGTTTGCCGCCCTACAATTAGGTCATTTCGCCCATGAAATTTCCAGTGGGAATAAAAATGCTGCTATCAACAATGGAACAATGGTGTATTACGGGTAAAAAAGTAATGCTTAACAAGTCCCGTGGGATGGAAATTATTGCGAAAAGTAAATTGCATGATAAAGTGAAAAGCGTTTTGGTACACTCAAGATAGACTTACGTAGAATAGCGGAGATGTTCGCGTATTAAAAGTATAAATCCATAAATCCATTGTTTGGGAGTTCTTTATGCCACCGTTTGATTGCGTTTTGTAGCCCCTGGCTAACAATTCATAAAACGAAATGCAAATGAGACAGTGCATAGTCAACTCGTTTTTTACATATCGCCAGATTGGGAGCAGAGACGATGTAATTAGGGAGGGCGTTCCAAGGCTGGCACACGCGGAGAGAAAAGAAATTTCTACAGCATTCAAGTCGGCTATACTGTATTTTCAGTTTCAGAGGATGACCTCTTATGTTAGTGTTGTGGTTCAATTCCAACAGCGGACGGCAAATGTGGTTTGGGCTCCTCAGAATCCGGTAAACCATTATGAGATCCACCCGCAAAAGCCGATATCGACTGTTGTACATTCTTAGAGATTTCAGTCGTAGCTGGTAGGGTAGATGAAAGGGGCTCCTGACGTTCTTGATTACCCTACGTTGAGGAGTCTCGAGAGCAACGAGATCGTTTCTGCCACGGCTGCCACGCCTGTGTAGCATATTTCACGTGCAGTCGTACGTAGGCGATAGGCATTTGGGGAAAGACTGAGGGTTCAAACCAACCGAAGGCTCTGCAGAGTAGGCCGAAGTGTTGATTGCCCGTTCTCCACGCCTTCTCTGCTTTTTTTGAACACCCGAGATCTTCCTGTACCAGTACACACATGTTACACTCCTGAGAGGCCTTCTACAAGGTATGGTCTCTAAGCTTGTAGTTAGTTACCGGCTGATGACGCAGATGTATCACCTTGCAGTTAACTATGTTCAACTTAAGCAGTTCCTCTTTGACCATTCATAAATGCCATCTAGCTCATGTTGGAGTAGATCGTGATCTACATTGCTACTAATCGCCCGCCGTATTTTGACGTCAACGGCGAAAAGCAGAAAATTTGAGGAGATAACTTTTGCCAGGTCGTTGATAAACACCAGAAATAAGCGCGGTCCCAGCACTGAACCTTGTGGGACACCACATTGTACCTCAATCGGGTTAGAGCGATCCCCTAACGCGTACTTAAAGCTTCCGTTGGTGAAGAAAGTTGCCAATCCAAGCAAGTACAGGATCACCGATTCCGTAGCTCTGTAGTCTGTGAAGTAGGATGCGGTGATCCAGGTGGTCGAAAGTTTTGGAGAAGTCCAGATAGATGACGTTAACTCCGACCCCATCATCAGCCACTTCCGTCCAACTACCTCGTGCAATCAGTAGGTTGGTAGTGCTTCCCCGGTGTTGACGGAAGCCATGCTGCGCCGGTGCCAAGATGTTGCATTTTTCCAGGTAGCCCATTAGAGCCTCAGCGATGACCGCTTCCATCACCTTCGCCAACACAAGGAGGAGAGTCACTGGGCGATAGTTTGCAGGCTCTGAATGGCTACCGCCTTTAAGAATTGGAGTGATAATGCCACGCTTCTACATAGTGGTGACTTGTTCATCAAAGCAACTTCGGAAGAACTGTGACAGTGGAACAGCTAGTTTGTTGGCCGAAGTTCTCAGTGCTTGCGGGGGGATTTTGTCAGCTCTCGGAGAGCTATGATCGCACAGTGAGAGCAACTTCCTTAGCACAATTACTGCGTTAAAAATTACATGTGTTAACAATGGAGTCGGTAATGTGATTGACAGTAGGTGACAGATAGTGGCTGCGAGTTCGCAAATCGTGGCGTATTGATGCCGCAGGGCATTAGCTGCTTCTTCAGCGCTGTGCACTCTACCGCCTGTGGTGAAAAGTGGAGAGATGTCATGCTTCACATTACGAAGATTGTTGACATGCCTATACAGCAGTTTGTTGTTTGACAGGAATATTTTGGCTAGGCACTGTTGATAAGTTACTTTGTCCTCACAGACAAGTGCAGTGTAATGGGTCAGGAAATCGCACCAAGTTTCTGAGTTGTGATTAACGTTGCAGACACGCCATGCTGCAACGCTTATCGCCAGGCCCTTCCGAGTCCTGCTCCATAGAATCGAAGGCATTTTTATGAGACGAAGGGGCTTGGTCTCTGATGCTCTGTTGACGATGTCGCTGAATCTATTAACGAACACTGCCCAAACGTTGATCAAGGGGACTTTTGTTTGAGAATTCCCAAGCAGCTGCGTCGGCGAGTTCTTTCAATATGTGGTAGTGTGTGAGAGTGTGAGTTAGTTCCGAGTGTTCAGATGGATACTCTGCATAACACACATAGTTAAACGTTAGTAGTACATGGTCACTGAGACCTAGTGGACTGTCCATCAATAACTTGTCACTCATGAGCTTCTCATTCGTGAGCACAAGGTCCAATATGGACGGTTTGTTTGCTGTCCTGAATCTAGTGGGCGTGGTGACATGACTGTACAAGGGAATATAAGCGATCAGTTCATGCAAGTCTGCTTTGAGCTGTTCACTGGGTGATGTCGATAAATCCAAATCGTGTAGATTGTAGTCCTCGGAGATGAGAATGTGGCTGTAGCTAGCGCGTGTTACTTTGTTCAGGACATGTATCAAGCGGAAATCCATTTCCGGAGTGGACGTTGGGGGGGCGGTAAACGACAGCTACGAGACATGCGACGTTGTGCCTTTGTCGGAGACGGCAACAGAGTGAGTCGGTAACGTGAGTTTCCAGATCATCAACTATTGCACATTGCAGGTCGCTGCGGTAGTAGAGTAGGACCCCACCTCCTCTGCTGAAGCGATCATTCCGGATGAGTGACATTCCGGCTATCTCAACCTCAGCATCAGTCACCCCTTGGTGTAACCAAGTTTCGGTAATAGAAATAAAGGTCCCACGTATTCGCAACCTGACGTAGTCGAAGTTCGGTAATTTTACTAAGGAGCGCTTGGGTGTTAGTGTACATACATGTTTCTCAGATTTACGCAATGTTTCGGAGGTTGTGCAATTTCGCCGACAATTGAGTGGCGGCGGCTAATCGCTTTTTCAATGTTTATTTGGAGAAGTGTTTATCGTCTTATTCATCGTTCGCGTAGTTAGTGCGTTTATAATATCCTACGTACCGTGTAAGGTGTCCGGTCAATATCATCTTCTACAGGTTGTTCAAGCTCATCCAACACACTACTAGTGCATTATTCTTTGATAAATCCCATTGCGTTTGGTTCTTTGAGTGAAATATCATTCCCGGAAGACATATCAATGATAGTCTTCAGCCGAAGCTCAGATGGTAGCCTGCAAAGAAACATGTGCCGGCATTTTAGCATCCGTGCTACCATATGTTTTGACTGAAGGACTACCTCCAACACTCGGGCCACCTCCTTGGTAGTTCGGTGAGGTACGCAGTCGTGACACGGATTTCCCTAACACATCATTCAAGCAGTGTTTCACGAATATAACACCACTACTTTATCATGGGTTGTTACTTCATGCTCATCACATGTTTTAGTTTCAGGAACCCAGTGAAGCAGAATGGTTCTGGTTGAAGTTACCTTCCGGTAGTTCTCTAGGGTGCGGTTAACTCGATAACACTCACTCCATGGGATGTCTGGAAAGATACGAAAGGAGCAGTGTTCATTCCTGACTACCAGTCGACAATACTACTGATTCAAGCTCAGTAATGGGTTCAGCACAACGCGCAGAAGTCTTGGCTCTCCGAAATGCTTAGAGTTGGAGTGTCACGTAATACGCACTACGTGTACAGACTTCAGTACAACTCCGATTAGGTTGATGATCATGTCCCACTGGTTGTGATCATACAACCGCCTGCCTCTTATTGATGTCGACTTTGATTCTGGGATATTGGAGCACAGTACGCTTAGTACATGTAGTTGTTTCCTTACACCTTTCGACATCACTCAGTTAGTGATTGAAATACTCGGAGATGTACCGCAGGAAACCGGTGGTGTTTGCATCAGATAACCCTCATTACGCTCCTCATTTTCTGATCCAGCTGGGGTGATGTTAATTTTAAATGACGGCTCTTCTTGGAAGCAACCGTAACCCAACTTTCGCTAGTACCGGCTTGCTCTTTTTCTACGCACGCCGTCGGGAGATTGGAAGTAGCCTTACGTGTAGTTACTCCGATCAAACTGGGAACCGCATTATTCAAATGTGAGCCACGTGTGGTATTGGAACAGTAGTTGATGTTCTGGGCTCTTGGTGTCATGTTGCTTATGGTGTTACTAGCCGTTCCTCTCGGGGGAGGATTGGGTTGCACAGTCCACTATGCTTACCCAACCGTAGTGAGTTTGGTGGTCACCACTTCCTCAAACTTGGCTAGTAGCTGATCGTATTTCTGAGATAATAGGAGGACGCTTTTTATCAGTGGGATAGATGTGCATTCCACGCAGAACCATAGAGGATCTGGTTTGTTTAATAACTTGGCCTGACTAGGTTTGACTCGGAGGTATCTCGCATGGAAAATCTTGCAACAATTACGGCACAGAATGCCTCCTTAACAAGATTGGAACATGATCCACATAGGTCTTTAGACTGTGGCACATCGGGCATCGCGCTTGTTGAGGAAATGTTACGAACCATTTGAATGACTCACCGTCCATGATAAAAAGGTGTTCTGGTACTGATGTTGTCACAGTGCTCATGTCGCAGTTGTGTGCTCGCGTACTATCCTCTGACGTGCCAGTCGAGTGTCAGCGGGAAGGTGAGGTAGCTTATACGAGGGTATGATTGAGAATTTTCGTGCTTAAGCCCATGGATCGCGCCGCGTGGATTTGCCTTGAGACCTGTAGCTGCTCCAAGCAATGTTGGATTTGAACGAGTGACAGTTCTTTCGAAAGCCGTTGAAATGATCTATCGAGTGAGACCAAACAATGTCTCAGATGGTTGGAGTTAGGCAACTGCTGGCGCTTGGACATAGGCGAAACACTGCCCGGAATGTGGAATTCAGGTTAAATGTAGAATGCATTGGAGTGTACTCAGAAAAATAGTATCACAAGGTTGAGCTTTTAAAAGCACGACGGATAAGTATAGATCTAAAGGTGTGCGACAAAATGCCGCCGAGCCATAGTGAAAAATACCACAAGTGCCCAATGAACGATTTGCACGCACGTTCGCTCAAGGTCACAATGCGTACAATAAATCCCCTACTACACACTAATGCACAGAACTAATTGTTGTTGAATTAAATGTTAACGGCCCATATCCAAATCTTTAAAATGCATCCGACGATTTGGATTATTCCCACTGACAACCTTCATCATTATTACATCGGTGGTCGTCTTGTGTTGGGTGGACAAAGTTCTCATTCGGTGTATACGAATAAGTGTTCGAAAATGCTTGTTCAGCCCAGTTTAAATTCAACGTTGGATAATGCCTCGTATTTGTAAAAGAGCTATCGAGAATAACAAATCTGAACCAACTCTTCGCTGGTGGTATTAGGATGTAGTGGGCTAACAATAGGGTGAGTGATCACACAGCACCACATATGAGCGACCCAGATCATAATTCCATTTAATGCGGCTAAGTGCGGTTTTGATGATATTATAATAATACTTATGAGAAGATCCCGTAGCGAATCACCCATGAGAGCAATTCTGGGGTACTCATGTGAAAAATATCTGTGCTGTTCGAAGCAGGATGAATAGGCAGCGAAAAGACAAGTGACACGTAGGCACTTGTAAAGAGCACCAGGACGACTAACATAACCAATCGTCCTAAAAACGCTGAATGGTTGCGTAGTGGACCCACAATGAAAACAATGCTCAGGCAGGGCATATTTGGTGAAGCTGTGGCAATCACAAACACTTGTGACATGCTATAAAACAGTTCTGAGGCAACAACTTGAAGTTGGAAAGGAGATATGGTAGTCCCTAGTGCCGCAGGAACGTTCTTCTGCAACGTAAATGTAGGGCATGTAGCACTCTTTCAGCAACAATCGGGCTGAAGCCATGTCTCGCCGTATCCATGGAGCACGCGCTAAGCTGCGCTTCCATGCACGAATTACCTAATGAGTTCGGAGGGTAGAGTGAGATACGTACACTTCCTAACATCAGGTCAGGGGAGAATTGAGACCGAATCCATCTCGCGTTTAGTTTCTCACCAGTCCAAAAGGTGACTCTGGAGATCCCACTCAGCATGGCTAAATCGATCACACAGGCGGCAAGAAATGCAGATGCATAAGGGGACGCGAGTACGAAGAGACGTCGATCATTTAAGTCAGGAAAAATAAGTCACAAACGCCACTTAGATGAACGTACAAGAGATGTAGTACAGGTATATAGGCAAAAGAGACCTCCGAAGTCAAGAAAATATCGGGAGATCACGCGAAACGCAAGCCCTCAATTATAAATAAAAATGAGGTTCATCACAGCCAGCTTTCAAATCAGATAGTCATCCACGTGCCAAGAAAAGCCCTAGGCTGCATTTTCAGCCTGCTGGGCATCATCAGAAGTGCGCATCTATCGTATCCATCAGGATTCGAACCTATGACCACTTGCGGCTTGCACGGCCAGTCCGCAGCTTACGCAACTGGGCTACGGGGGACAGTTTCGGACAGTCATGATTTATAAGCTAACTATGATATAGCGCGTACTACCGATGATGCCCAACAGGCTGAAACTGCAGTCTAATGCTTTTCCGGGCATGTGGACGACTATCTGATTTGAAAGTTAGCTGTGATGTATCTCATTTATCTATATCAAAATCCCCTCCTCGTGAATACCTCAAAATATATCCGCCCTAACAGGTTCTAAATGCTGTCGTACATAGCTACTGTTAGTGGACGTCGTGTCTTTCAGGGCCAACGTTGTCCTCTACAACATTCGTAACTTGCATGGCAGTGGAGGATAAGAGGCGCTATACACTGTTAGCTTGTAAATCATGACGATCCGAAGCTGTCCCCTGTGGCTCAGTGGCATAAGTTGCTAACTGGCAGTGCAAGCCGCTGGTGGTCATAGGTTCGAATCCTGATGGATACAATGGATGCGCACTACTGATGATGCCCCCCAGGTCGAAACTGCAGTGCTGTCGGGGACAAAACAATTGGAAGAAGCTGTTAATAATGGTCCCCGGATCCATCAAAGAGGGATCAGACACACAACCATCGGAACAAGCTCGAAGACACTTATCACATAGCACGGAAAGAAGAGCACGAGCGGGGGTGCCGACGAGGAAAATTATCTAGAAATAGAGGCACTTGCTTAGTCAAGTTGCCTTCGTGGAACATGAGTTAGGGGACAACTCCATAGACTTTGTGATGGTCAACGTAGTGGAATGCCGTAAGAGAACGACAACAACAACAAGCGATAACCCGCTGAGAGTAATAAAATCAGCAACAACAGATGGAACCAGTTACAGTCGATTGCATTCCTTGTGGACTTTCAAGATATAGCAACGTTAGCGTGCTGAACTATGATATGATTGTCAAAAGGAGACTAGTAACAGTAAATCCAGCAACCTTTATTGTTGAGTAAAACGACGAAGCGGTAATAGGCATAGGGAAACTGGATATCTCCATATGGCAGCGTTGAAGTACTTAGAGGCGGATATTTCATCTGATATGGTTTACTCCCAGTTCACCGTTTGAAGAGAAAACACGCCGGTCAGCAAGAGAGCAAAAGGGGGAAAATGAGTGACGACAGGTAATAGCATATGTCTCAGGACATGCGCAAATGTGTTTTGAAAGCCAGAGCATGCTTAGACGGTATTGACCATTAGGACTTGTTTCGAGAATACTTCGCAGAGGAGAGATCCAACTGACGAATGACAAGATCAACTCGCACGATTGGCAAGGAAACAACTGCTTAGATGATTTACGTACGGTTGCAATGAAAATGAGGTTGAGTGAATCGAAAAGATAGTCGGACAGAAATAGGCAAATAGCCCTAAAATATTACAAGTATGCTCAAGCAAAAAAATTTGGTCGGCAGAAGTTCGAAAGAACGCATGCTCATGAAATGAGAACTCGAAGCAGCAAAGCGAAAAAAGCGACAAAAACCAGCCAGTGCGGCTAAAATGCAACAATTAATCAGGGCAAACTATAACCCAAAGTGAATTGAGAGGTCCCGAGAAAATGTATCACAGAACATAAACAAATGTCCGGTGAGCAGGGAGAGGGAAAAGCTCGAAATGGACCGCAAACGATGAAGAACACAGCTAAGAATCCCCGATTGAAGGGATAATGTGTTCCGCTTGTTGCATAGCAAACATGGTGGAGACTATGCGCATGCGTTCTTGTTCGAAATAAACAATGATTGCGTGAAGCTCCTTGTAAAACAACTGGTCCAGGGCGCGAGTGACTTCAACCATAGTCTCCACATCGAATTGTTTGAGGAAGTCCTGCAAGTAAAGCGGCACAGGGACTTAGTTCAGCAAAAGAATACATGATGAGTGTCAGCAATGCAAATAATTGGCATAGAAAGATTGAGGAGACTTCACGAGCAAATCGACACAGTTGCATCCGAGCTAAGCAGCAATGTAGCGGTGTAGAAGAATAAATGTTGACCGATACCTTGCAGCGAACCGTCGAGAGCGTTAGACTTAGGCTGAAAAGACCACGACGATTTCATGATTTTGTTCGTAGAAAGTAGAAGTCACGATTAAACTCCACACAATAATCTGCCTCGACGGGAAATCGAACTCCGATCCCACGAATTATCGGTCCGCTGCTATACCACCGAGCTACCGAGGGCTGACGGTCAGGTGCGCAATTTAAGACAGGACTTCTGCTTGGTGCGCGACGTATTGTCAATAAGCTCACAGTATCTGTCCTGATGTTATAGATTGGCTCACTCATTCGTCACTTCCCAATGGACCGAACATTACACTACTCACAAAAATCCACAAGTAATCTACCATCGCCCTTTGGACATCAGAAGGACAGATACTTCGGTCCATTGGGAAGTGACGAGTGAGTGAGCCAATCTACAACACCAGGACAGATACTGTGAGCTCACTGGCAATACGTCGCGCACCAAGCAGAAGTCATGTATTAAATTGTGCACCTGATCGTCAGCCCTCGGTAGCTCAGTGGTAGAGCAGCGGTCCGGGGTTTGATCCCCCGTCGAGGCAGATTATTGTGTGCAGTTTAATCGTGACTTCTACTTTCTACGAACAGTACACTACTCACAAACATCCACAAGTGATTTCATGATTGTGAGTAACAACAAAGTCGGACTGTGCGTGAACAATTCAAATCAGTTGGCATTGCCTGCATTAAATACTGCTTTTCACGACCGAGCTGACTCTCAGCTGAACAGTTCCTGTGTAGAGTGCCGACAGACGCACTCAATGCTAAATTGCACTATGCTACGGGGATCAACGGTTGGTGTTGCGAGTAAATGCCTTGTAAAGTCGCTGCAATGAGTAGGGTCTCCCATGCTGTATGGAGTCACATCAACACCCTCAGCAGATTCAGAGAGAGTGATAGACCGTCCATACTAAATCAGATATTCCTCAAGAAAGAACCCATGGCAGAGAGGGTAATATTCGACATCCTTTTGGGCCGCTATGATATGCAGTCTTACTTTTCAACTAAGCCTGTTATGCAGAATATCCCATGGAAAGTGTCGACGCAACAAGAACGATTATACGCTACGACACAGTAGCTCGACGCGGTGAGACAACGGACCGGACTTCCCTGGCAGACGAGGCACCGGCAAGTGCATGGCGACATTTCGTCAGCTAGTTCAACACGTTGGTTACGGAAACATCAGAAACTAAAGCTGTGCACTCGAGAAACGTGGTCCCATTTGTGCGAAGTAGGACACGAAAACCTAAAGCGGCGCGAAAGCCGGCCTAGCATATCTACATCTCCGAGGTTTGCATAGCCCTTGTGGCCCAAAGTAACCACTGTACTCAACTTGTCGGCGAAGAGAACATGGCATACCAACAGGGGTAGGCTGCTGTATCAACATGCACACAGTCTACGTATGACGAAAAGAGGAACTTCTCCTCTTCAAACAACGGATGGACTCACATGGACACTGAAGGATGAGGCCAATACTTTGTGTCTGCATTATGCTGCAACATTTCAGTGCGATACTGGCCACCCAACTCTATGACAATGGTTGTCTCACTACCAAAACTCCCTCACATAGCATTCACAACAGAAGCTGCACTAAAAAACTGTTGTGTATGCGTAAGCACAGCTTTCCTGGAGTTGATGATATGCACCCGAAGTTGCTAGCGGCGGTAGGAGAGCTTTGCTGGGCCTTTGGATCGATTCTTCCAACATTGATTTGAAAAGAAACGTACGTGCACGACGTGTGGAAACACGGGACGATTACCCTTATTCACAAGGGAGGTAGTTGTTCCAATCCAGCCAAGTACCGTCCCATTATCTTACTACCGGTTCTTTCAAAGGTCATAGAAGAAGTCAACTACCTCGCACCGGAACAGTATGGCTTCCGTCGAAATCAATCGTGGACTATAAATCGACTACTAGCATTATTCAGCTGGACCGAAGAAGTGGTCACTGGCACAGAAGTTGTAGTTTTTTCCGACTTCTCAAAGGCATTCGACTGGTTAGACCATGGCACTCTTCGGTATTGGTGACCTTCTTCTAGAGTAGGTCAGAAGCTTACTCCTAAACTGGCGCTTGGAGGTAAGAGTACATGAATCCCTATCAGATTCCCATCCAAATCGAATGCCGAGTATCACAGGGGTCGGTACCGGAGCCAAAGTTGTTCTTGACGTATATCAATAAGATAACGTCCCTAGTAGGCTCGAACTATCTACACGATGCCAATGGCATCAAGGTGTGGAGCGTGATCAATACAATACGTCAAGCCGATCTGGGTAGAGTTTACGGATGGACAATTCAGAATCTACTTCTGTTCACTATGGAAAAACGTAGAGTGTTGCACTTACAGCAGCAGCTAGCAGGCTGCTATAAACTGGGCAACCAGGAGCTTCAGACGTCCTCCAACGAAAAGGATCCGGGTGTTATAATACAAGAAGAGGCATTCAAAACGTGGGTCTGATGCGGAGTGCATTCGGAGGATTCGACCCGCCGGTTTTTCAACAGCTGCTCCACTCATATACAAGTACCCACATGGAATATGCAATACAGATCTGGCAGTCATGGTCGACGAGAGATCTCACCGCTTTGGACATAACCAGTGTCGGGAAATCAAGGATGTCAAAGGGTTGTACTATTTGCCTTATGAAGAAAGTGTGAAACTGCCCAGGGTCTTCAACGGACGATTGCGGGGGGACCTCATTTTGAATTACCAGATTTTGTGGGACCTCAACCACACGTGCCACGTTTGCTAGAGCTCAGTTGCAACAGTAATCTAAGAGACCAGCATCTCAAACTAGAAGAACAATACCTACGTTTGGAATGCCGTCGAAAGTTCGTTTCAGTTTGTGACTGCTAAGCGTGGAATGCACTGAGGGAATCTGTTATCGCTGCTCCCACGCTAGGAGAATTCAAAGCTCGAGTATCGAAAGTGAATTCATTTCGCTGCATCCTCGCACATGAATCATTGCCATTGGTCAAACACGAGTGTCTGTTGGAGATTTCACTGATATTCAGCTCCCAAAAAATAAATTCCACTTTTTCACTTGTACATGCTTACGACCTATTTGTCGTCACTCCCTTATGGACGTACTTACATTACTTTACTGCGGCTAACTCCTGCGACAGGATGAGCCGGAGTCATGAATGTCGCGGATTGCAGCTGCCCAAGCGCGGCGGTCGGCCGCAAGCTCCACGCAGATACTGATCCAATGATATTTCCAGTGGCGAGGACCATGCATAAACTGGAGTCCCAAAAGATCGAAATTCGATTTCACTGCAGCGAGCCACGTTTTCAATTGTCCACCACGGGATTTTCCCGTCTAGCGAATAGTTCGGCGGCCGTCTTCCAGGTGGTGGATTTTCGCCTGACAAGCCTTCTCCCTATAAACAGTCACATATGTCCGTTTAACAAGACTGCGACGCCACCAAATAGAGTCACTACCCCTTGCTTCACTCCAGTGGAGCATTGTATTCAAGCTGCCAGCTGCTTTTGCTCTGTGGAGGATTAGGCCCCTGTTTGTTAGTTGAACAAACAAATGGCGTATGAACCGATTAATCGGTCACCGGCTCCCAATGGGTGCGGTTCCCTGAATTCGCCCGCCGCCTTGCAGGTAAGCTATTGAACCAAAGGCTTCGGATGGCGGCCCCCTAAGACAATCCCATACTTCGGTCTAGGCAACCGGTTTGTATCGCGCCTACTGATGAACCATGGAACTGAAGTGCACTCTCCGCTCTACTGATGCTTCGCTATCAGGCTAATACTGCAAGCACTATTCTGTCACACGCCACTCACTTGCCCACTCTCCCCCTGTAGCATCCTTCTCCGTTTTTGTCTGATCAGCATTGCTTCCTCCGATATCACTGTTGCCGCTCCATCCTCTGACATAATCACACAGCGCCAAACCGGGATTGAACAGTCCCGGATTCTCCCCTCTCCGCTTCTGCAACCGAAGACACAGTTCAACTTGGCGGCGTTCAATGTGCGCACTTTAAAACAGACTGGACAACAAGCCGGTCTCGCGCGCACTCTAGAAACTCTTGCAAATGATGTCCGTTGTTTGTCCGAAACATGACTTCAGGATTTTGGCATAGTCCACCCATTGTCGTCACCAATTCACCCTTATATCCGTTTCGAGCTTCGACTTTTAGGTAGACGTCCAGGTTACCGCTTCTGGGCAAGGTGGTGTCGGAATCGTCATTAGTGTCAGGGCCGAAGCCGCCCTTCTTGAATGGATTCCGATCAACAATCGCTTTTGTGCTGTAAAGCCCCATGTCACGTGCAAGGCGTCGAGAAGATAAACGTGCTCCTCTCGTAATCTCCGCCTGTGCTCCCACTGACTGTAGCCCGGATACCGTCAAGGACCAATTCTATCAGAACCCACATGATCTGCTCTTAAGAGCAAAAACAGACATCATTATTATGGCGGGGGATTTCAACGCGCGTGTTAGTCGTTTGTTAACAGGCGAAAGCCACCTTGGAGGACCGCATCAATACGACGACGTTCGCTCAGAGAGAAAGACCACTCAGTTTGTGTGCCATCCACCAACTTTACTTCTCTAGCACGAACTTTCGCCACTCTATGCGTCCCTACACTAGCTCGCAAGCTCCATCATCCCCTCAACGTTGGTCAGATTGACCACATCGCCATAAGTCACCGCTGGCGTGACAGTAATCGGGACTGCAGATCCTATTGGTCAATACGCGTGGAATCTTATCATGCGCTAGTACGTGCGTCGGTTTGCATGCGTTTCGGTGGCTGGCCTAGAACTACACAAACTCGACTTAACACTGGTAAACTGTAAGACCCCGGAGTGC